GATTCTTATCTGGGTGTTTAAAAGATAGGGTTTCGAGATCTACAAAATAGATGTCATTGCAATTCATAGATCTCCACAGCTTCTATGAATGTTCGTGCGCTTTTCTTTATGCATGTTTGAAAAAAACCCAGATCTAAGTTTGAGAAAAACCCAGTTCTCAAACCCAGATTTGGGTGTCTCCCAGCTTAGATAATTAAGCAGAAGCAGATTCACAATTTCTGTTTCTTTAAACGCCATCACTGCTGCTTCTTCCGGTGTTATCCTCGCTATCCATGGCACCATCACCTCCACCATCACTTACGTCGCCGTCACAATCGTTGCCATTGCCTCGGGTGCTTGTCTCTCCACCAAGGTCGACTTCTTCTGTTTTTGGTTTTGTTTCTTTGTTTCTTTTATGGAGCAATTGTTTGTGGTTGTTTGTGGAGAATCTCTGTTTCTCTCAAGAACGAGCTGGCCATTGGTTAGAGCTTCATTTTTGTTCTGTTTTTTCAAACTTTTATGGTTAATTCTTGGTCCTGATTTTGCTACTTTTCTTTGTCTTGATGGAGTTAGAATTTTCCGTTCTCTTTAAATCAGTTCTCGCTGGTTTCTGTGCTGATTTCGCTAGCATTTTGGGTTATCGTTTGCCATAGATCGAGTCTCCGGTGATTCGGTATTGTTTCTTTTTGATTTATTCGCATCCACGTGATTTGTCTTGATTTGGTGAAATTTGAATGCATGTATTCGAGGTTTTTTTGTTAGATTGTGATTTAGTTTCTCTTTTGTTGTGTTTCGGTGGTGTCGGAGGAGTTATTTAGGTTTGAGAAAAACCCAGATTTGGGTTTGATTTGGAGAGGAAGAAGAAGGAACAAGAGAGAGAAAGTGAAAGAGGATGAAGAGATGATATGGCAACTTTTCCACAAATGTGCCTTGTTTAATATAATGGAATGATTTGTATTGCTTTTTTTATTATCATCAGCTTCATTAGATCGTTAATTTATGTGATGAAACCCAGATTTGGGTTTGAGAGAAAACCCAGATCTGGGTTTGAGAAAGAAAGAAGAAAGGAGAAGAAAGAGAGAGAATAAGAAGAAGAATGAGCGTAAGTAATGCATTATTTTTTTTTTCCTGGGTTTGAGAAAAACCCAAATCTGGGTTTAAGAAAGGAAGAAGAAGGAGAAAGGAAGAAGAGGAAGAAGAAATCTGACGTGGGTGAAAAAAAAAAAGAATTATTACTTTTAAATTAAATAAAAATGCCAACTCATCAAAAATGGCCAACTATACTTTTTTTTTTCCATGTCATTGATTAAGAAAAAAAAAAGAATTGATTTGCTAGCATTTTAACGTGCTACCTGTCATTTAACTGACGGAAGGACCATTTTGGTAAAAAAATGAAAGTTTAAGGATAATTTTGGTACTTTTTAAAGGTGAGGGACAATTTTGGTGCCAAAGTGAAAAGTTGAAGGACCAAAATGGTACTTAAACCATATATTTTCACTCAAAAGGAGCTTAATATGAGGCAGAGGTGATGGCTTGAACTTTTAAACTTGACCATTAGCTACCATCCAGGCAAAGCTAACAAAGTAGTAGATGCGTTGAGTAGGAAGCCCTCTGGCATTGCCTCTAGCATCCTTGCCACTCAGAAGGAGTTACTTGAGGATCTTGTGAAACTGGATGTAGAGTTGAGAGTAGACAGTACTACGGCTTATCGAGCTGCTCTCAGTGCACAACCAGTATTAATAGATAGAATTAAACTTGGCCAACAAAAAGATCCCTTCTTGCAAAAGATGAAGGAAAAAGTAAGAGCCGGGGAAACCCACATGCAAGAATTTAGAATTTCTGATGATGAGACTCTGTGGTTTGGTGACAGGCTGTGTGTACCAAGAGATCATGCTTTAAGGCATGAGATTATGGGAGATGCCCATTATACTAGCTATACAATTCACCCAGGTAGCACCAAGATGTATCGTGATTTGTGTGGTACATTTTGGTGGCGAAACATGAAGAGGGAGATAGCTAGATTTATCTCACAATGCCTGACTTGCCAAAAAGTCAAAGCCGAACACTAGAGACTTCTTGGGAAACTGCAACCTTTACCTATTCCCCAGTGGAAGTGGGAGAACATCACCATGGACTTTGTGACTGGCTTACCACGAATCGTAAAGGGTAATGATTTCATCTGGGTCATCGTTGATCGATTGATCAAATCAGCTCACTTCTTACCCTACCGGACTGGCACCTCCATTGAGAAGCTTGCCAATATGTACATGGAGAAGATAGTCAAGCTGCATGGAGTCCCTGTGTCTATTGTGTCAGATAGCGATACCAAATTTTTATCTCATTTATGGACAAGTTTGCAGCAAGCACTTGGTACTTAATTAAATTTTAGCACGGCCTTCCATCCTCAAACTGATGGGCAATCTGAGAAAACTATCCAAATACTTGAGGACATGTTGAGGGCTTGTGTTCTAGATTGGAAGGGTTCGTGGGATCAACACTTATCCATGGCTGAGTTTGCATATAATAACAGTTATCAATCCAGCATTCGCATGGTACCGTTTGAGGCTTTGTATGGTTGAAGGTGTACATCACCTGTTTGTTGAACGAAAGTGGGCGAAAGGAGCATTTTAGGCCCAGAATTGGTGCAACAAACTTCTGAGATTGTGCAGTTGATCAAGGAACGCCTTCGTGCTGCACAAAGTAGGCAGAAAAGCTATGCGGATAGAAGGAGACGAGACCTTGAGTTTGAAGTTGGTGACCATGTATTTTTGAAGGTGTCACCCACTCGAGGTGTCCTCAGGTTTGGCATCCGGGGAAAATTAAGTCTGAGATATATTGGACCATATCCTATCTTGGAAAGGATTGGCGAGGTAACTTATAGATTGGAGTTGCCTGGAAATTTAGCCGGTGTTCATGATGTGTTTCACGTGTCCTTACTTCGGAAGTATGTTCCCGACTCGAGTCACATCATTAATCCCGAATCAATTCAATTCCGGGAGGATCTCACTTATGATGAGCACCCGATCCGCATTTTAGATTTCAAGGAGAGGATAATGCGGAGAAAGACCATTCGTTTTGTTAAGGTCCTCTGAGATAACCATTCGGCTGAAAAAGCTACTTGGGAGTTGGAATCCAAGGTGAGGCAGGAGCATCCGTGCCTCTTCCAAGATTGAGGTATGAGTTTAGGGGACTAAACTCCTTTTAGGAGGGGTGGATGTAATACCCCAAAAATTTCAAGAACATTAAAGTTGAGTTAGGGACTTAATGGTGAGGAAACGTTATTAATGGACCTAATAGTCAAA